CCCAAAAGGGGGGGGGGATACAAACAGTAACATATAACATAACACATAATTAAAAAATAAACAACATTCATTCAACATTCGGGTGGGGGCAGATCAAGTCTTTACCCCCAGGCCTGGCGGGATAGCCAGCTCTTGAGGGCTGTGTGGAAGGTCTGAAGGGTGGTGAGGGTACGAATCTCCACGGGGAGATCGTTCCAGAGGGACGATCTCCCTCTGCAACTATATGCAACTTTTTAATGAATTTGCAGAAAAAAAACATCTATTGGGGAGGCATGATTTGCTTAACAACTGGGATTCACTTAATGCCCACTATAAAACTCATCATAAAATTGAGTCCAACTCGATATATGATCGTGGTGACTGCAAGTTCTGGTCCCAATTGTGGTCATAAGTCAAGGAATGCCTGTATATACAAAGTAAATGGGTGCACATTTGCTACAGTCAGTCCTATCCTGAGATCACACGAGATTTTTTTTTTTCAGTTAGAAAATTGCCATAATGTTTGACAGCTGCAAGGGAAGGAAGTTTTATTCTATCATGGGAAAATAGTCCTATACCTCATTATAAGGATTGATTAGAATCATTATAGAAAATGAGAATGTGTTTCTCAGTATGATGATTTTATTCAGATTTGGGTTTGACCACACTTTTAAAATTATACTGGATAGTGTATTCATAGAATACAAAACAACAGAGTTGGAAGGGACCTTAGAGGTCTTCCAGTCCAACCCACTGCTCAAGGAAAATTCCACTTAACCATGTGTTTCATTTAACGACCTCTGTGATTCACTTAACCACAGCTAAGAAGGTTGTAAAATTGGGTAGAAATCCACTTAATGTCTGCTTCACTTGACAATTGATGTTCTAGTCCTAATTGTTGTAAGTCAAGGGCTACCTATAGTCAAATGGTTGATGTTCATCCAATTAAGCATTCTGTCAAGCCCTTACATGGATTACTTTTTATTCAGCTTTTTGCTTTTAATTTTTTTTCCTCATTAGGTTTCTCTTGCTACTGTGATATTCGTTGCCAGTCAGAAGACATTATCTTCTGAAGTGAAAGCTGTTATCAAGCAACAGCTTGAAAATGATTCGAATGGATGGACAGCTTATAGGATAGCCAGGCAAGCTTCAAGAATGGTATGTGGTCCATAGTTCTAAATCAGGTTTCTTAATACAGGAATTTATTTGTGTTTTTTTTCTATATGCTTTATAGAAGTTTTGCTTTCAGAGGAAATCATACAGAGCCATGATGGCGAATCTATGGCACGTGTGCCCTCTCTGAGGGCACATGAGCCGTCACCCTAGTTCAGCTCCACCATGCATGCACGTATGCCTCTGCCAATCAGCTTGTTGTCGGGTCTCTACCGTGCGTGGGGCATGGGGTGTGTGTGGAGGGGCCATATATGCATGTGCGGGGGCAGAGGCAGGGTGTATTCGTGCATGCGGGGGGGGGGGAGATGCCATGCTTCTAGCACAGGCACTATTACAGCACACAAGAGAAGGCTGCCAACGAGTTTGATTATACTCGAGTTACCTATTGCAAGGCTGCTTCAGATACATGTTTATTGCTATGTCCTATATTTAAGTATAGAGAATTTTCTGCTGCCTTCTTGCAAATTGCATCTGTTTGCATTTACCTTTTGTAGGGCAATCATGGCATGGCCAAAGAGCTTTATCAAAGCCTGCTGACTCAGGTAGCTTCGGAACACTTCTACTTCTGGCTGAACAGTCTGAAGGAGTTCTCCCATGCAGAGCAGTGCTTAACCGGGCTGCAAGAGGACGATTATAGCTCTGCCCTTTCTTGCATTGCTGAGTCACTAAAATCTTATCACAAAGGAATAGCTTCTTTAACGGTCAGTATTTTTTTTTCTTTTGCAGAGCTGTTGGTCAAAGTACAAGTATCCTTGGCTTACAACAATTCATTTAGTCACCGTTCAAAGTTACAATGGCATTGAAAAAAGTGACTTATAACCTTTTTTCACAGTTAGGACCTTTGCCGTATCCCCATGGTCATGTGATCAAAATTCAGATGCTTGGCAACTGATTCACATTTATGACGGTTGCAGTGTCCCAAGGTCGTGCAATCACCATTTGCAACCTTCTGACAAAGCCAACTGGGAAACCAGATTTGATTTAACAGCTGGGTTACTAACTTATCAGCTGCAGTGATTCACTTAACAACTGTGACAAGAAAGGTTGTAAAATGGGGCAACACTCACCTAAAAGTCTCACTTAGCAGCAGAAAATTTGGGCTCAATTGCAGTCGTAAGTCGAGGACTACCTATAACTATCTTTTATTTCTTCTGTTCTGAGCTATAGCCTTCTGTGTCCTTGGAAAACCAATAGAAGCTTTATATCTCATGGTTCAGAAAAAGCTTTGGCTGGAACTGAGATTTCAGCAGTGATTCAGTGTGTTCTTATTTAGGAGCTGGAGATTCCACCATTTCCTAGACCTTTGGTAGGCTCAGGTGCTTCCATAAGCTTCCTCCCTTTCTAAAGAAGAACCACATACAGTTAATGGGGCGTTCCAATGGTGCATGTGAAAATCCTATCTGATATATCCTTTTGTTCGCTTCTCTAGTCTTCCTTTTTATCCATAGTCCAAAGGCTGGCCAAACTGGTAGTCTCCTGGAAGACTGTAATCATTGGATTACAGTCTACAATCTATGGATTATTTGAAGGCCAGATATACCTACTGTTTTAAAAAGAATAGGAAAAAAATAACTTGCACCTTTAGCAATAAAATTCTTTATTGTTGCAGAAGCAAACTCAAGGGTGTATCCCTCATTGAACTAGCAGTGTGGGAAATGTTGGAGGGAGGAGTGTTTAGTCTTTCAATAACTTCATTTATTGTGGAGCTAGTTTACTCCCACAGTAATTTCAGCTACAAAATACTGCTGTGTAAGAGTGTAGGTGTGAGCACATCATGAATTGCATTAACTTTTCATCCAAGAGTGAGTATGGAGGAGGCAGAGTCAGAACACTAACATTTTTTACTGCAATTTGAGCAATCTTTGATTGTTGGTATAATCAGTCAAATGCCAAAGTTCCTTTCTGCAAAGAGAGATCCTTCTCCCCACAAGCTTGTTTTTTTAATTAATAAAAATGTGGCTTTTGCATCAATAGAACTAAGTTCCATATTCCTGAAGCATTTAAAAAGAGATTAACTTGCCTGTTGCATATATTCTAACGAGGCAGAAGATTGGCAACCGAATTATACTTTGGCATAAATAATTATTCATCTCAGAAATGCTGGATTTGCCACATAATCTTGAGATCCGTTAGAAAAGCGGATGAGGAAAAGAAAGGTTTGAGGTTTAAAATATCTTTATAAAGCTTCATTCACAAAGTGACTCATCAACCAATTTGGTGTAAATTAGAACACTAAATTTTGAATTAGAAAACCCTGTGGTCAAATTCTCACTTACCTCTGAGGCTGGGCCTATTATTTGCTTCCCAAGTTTACTCTGATATTCCCATTTTATTGGGCTCTTAAGTTCCATGAAAGAAAAATGAGGTACAGATGTGATGATTAAATATTGAAATCCATATTATAGATATAAGCATCACAGATAGTCCTCAACTTACAACCACAGTTGGGATCAGAATTTTGATACCTAAGGGATATACTTGTCATCACATGGCTAGGCTCAATGTTGTGACCATTTTTACAGCAGTCATTAAGCAAATCATCACCATCTTTAAGTTAATCACACAGTCTTTAAATAAATCATGAATCACCAGATTCATTAAGTGAATCTGGTTTTCCTCATTGACTTTGCTTGTTGAAGGCGAGCTGAGAAGGTTACATATTGCAATTGTGATTACAGGCCATTGCAGCCATTTTTAAAGACAAGCCAGTTGCCAAGCACCCAAATTGCAATCACATGACCATAGGGGTGGTATGACTGATAAAACTTAAAGGATGAGTTACAAATCACGAAAAGAAAAGAATGGGTAACTGGCTTACTTAATTAGGTTAGCTAAATTCCTTAATTCTTGTGTTGTACAATTGACTCCAGAACAAGGCAATTTGTCAACCTCAGCTAAGCAGAAATGAAACAGTTTATATGTTTATAAATATAGTTTGTATTTAATTGTATAATGCTATGAAAATGGAATAATTTGAATAGAAAGAATATATGAACATCAAGACTTTTACAAATGTGAGGTTGAGTCTTTATTAACCTTGTAGTAGCTTTTTATTTGATACAAATGTGATCATATAATTCTGGGGTCCCCAACTTTGCTTTGTGAGTGGCGGACAAGTGAAGCTTCATCTGAGTATGTGGGGGATCTAGGTTGTGCATGTGAAACCATCCCTCTGCATCCCCCACTGGTCAGTGGAGCCAGAAAGGTTGGGGATAGCTGATATAATTATTCCTCCCACTGGACAAATGTTTGCTTGGTTATTTGGAGCATTTTTGGCTCTGCCCTTTAAGAGGATATTTAAAAACTGGGCAAATAAAGTGTCGTAGTCAACACAAACAACATTTTGATAAGATGTTCATCACTGCAAAAAGCATCTGATATGATGCCTAGATGTTCTTTATAAGTGCCCTCTTGGCATTTTCTCTCTTTGTGTTTCTTTTCTTTTATCTTGCCTCCCTCAGATTGAATTCAAAGGATAATTCAAGATTCAGATTAGGTAATTAGGAGTTTAAAAATGTTACAAAACCATAGTATCATAACATATTTCATAACAACAGGACAATAATCTTGTCTTTGAAATATTACATTCACTAATTGTTCGTTCCTTGTTGGAGAACAAGTCCTGTTCCCTACCTCCTCTTCTCTTCTGAAGATGATTTAATTGGCTCAGTGAAGTAGGTGAAGAACTACTATACTAGGCCACCATAACCAGAGCATTGTGCAAATGATATTGGTTTAGTAATCTATATGTTAAATATAGTCCACCACCCTTAATGAAAATTGCAGCAATCTCAAAACATAAGCAGAAGCTACCATCTGCACAGTCATTTGTGTAAGTGGTTTGCTGCTTTTAATAAATAATCCCTCACTATCTAGACAAGCCCTCCTTTCCTCTTTGGAAAATCATTTCCAACCATTTACTAGATTATTATTTATGAACTTGCTTACTTTGGACTCAGATTATGACTCTCCCAAGTTATGCCTTTACCTGATAGATTTTTTTTTTCCTCCCAGGCTGCCAGCACACCACTTAACCCTTTGAGCTTTCAGTGTGGGTTTGTTAAACTACGAATTGACCTTCTCCAGGCTTTCTCTCAGCTCATTTGCACTTGTAATAGCCTGAAGACTAGTCCCCCACCTGCCATTGCCACAACAATTGCCATGACCTCAGGCAGTGATCTCCAGCGATGTGGTCGTATTTCCAACCAGGCAAGTGACCTGATTTACCTGCACTGTTATTGTGTGAACATACTTCTTTATCATTATTCTCTATGATTACCCACATGAATTATACATTTATGCAAAGCCCCTTTGAACCTTCTAGATTCTAGAGAATTGCAGGTAGTCCCCGTTTAATGCTTGTTTTTAGTTATAACGGTGATGAAAAAGTAACTTTATGACCAATCCTCACATTTACAACCTTTAAAGTTATGTGGGATGAAGGAAAGCTGAAGTAAGTGCAGGCAGTTTTACATAGCAACCGCTTAACAAGCAAGTTGCCAGTCCCATTTGTAGTTACTAAATGAGGATTACCTGTGTTTGGTGGGAACTTTACCCCCACAAGTATCACATCACTAGACATAGTTCCCACAAAGCCTCTTAAAATATATTTTACACCACAAAAGTGTTACCATGGTTGTTAAAATAAATTGTTCTTGTGTTATTTTTCCTCTCAATTCATCTTCAGATTCCTTGAGTGATTTATAAGGCAAACTAGTCTTCCCACTGCTGTTGCCAGATCTAGCAATTAGCAATTTAATGGGTTTACATGCCGCCCAATCCTGGGGGGGACTCAGGGCGGCTTACAAGTACGAATAAAATAAAATAACATACAGGGGGAGAACATAAAACAATGCAAACATTTTAAAAACACAACATACATCCGGTTTAATTGGGGGTTGACCTGATTTGAGTCAGCAACCCCAGGCCTGCCGGAACAGCCAGGTTTTGGTGGCTTTTTGGAAGGCTGCANCCAAAAATCCTTCGGTATAGAGGAATTTCAGGAGTAGCCTGAAACTCCATCTTCTCACTGCTAAGCCCCGCCTTCTTCCCGTGTATCTGTCTCTTATATGTGTATAATTATTGGCATGCCAGTAATGTTCAGGCTTATCAGTGTGCAGAGCTCAAAGCTTAGATAGTTGAGATATAGGATATATCCAGAAAACGTGATGATGAGTGACCGAGAGATTGAATAAGTATATTTCAATAATACAGTTGTTATAATTGTTGTCAATTAAATTTATCTTGAAAAAAGTTTGTACCATTATACAGGGATACTAATCAGCATTATTTTTTATTCATTCTGGATCTTCCCAGAAAATTCTCTGTGCAAACTGCTTGTAGTCTTTTGAAAATGTGATGCTGCTCTTACTTCTTTGTTGACAAGAGACTCTTATAGTTTCGATGCTTTCATCTACTCTTCCCTAGAGATTTGCCATTACTATTAATATGACCAACCTCTTAATTTCCCCTTTCCTCTGAAAACTGCAGAAAAAAACCTGTTTCATTTAATAAATGGTACCATACTGCTTAAAAACGACCCTTTCTCACCTAGGAACAAAGTCTACTACAGCAAGGTCATCTAATCTTGTCAAGCTTGCCCAGGAAAGCTGTTATCATAATAATCAGAATATTGCAGCACATGGAGTACGTGTTCTGACAAATATAGCTGCTTCTTGTCAAGAAAAAGGTAATTCCAAAAGGTGTGGAAGGAGCATGGTTTGCAGAACAGTTTGTGACACTCAGCATAGCATGTCATGTTCTCATTTGAGAGTGCAGTGTAAATGTTCCTAAGTTCCATTGTTTTCTATTGCTTCTTCCTCTTTGCTAATTTGATGAAAAAGAAACTATAAACAATAATGTTGCTTTCCAGTTCCTAATCAAATCTTATAGCCTTTTCCATAACACTTTGGCTGGGTGCCAGGCAAGAAAACACTTATAGACGAAATTATGTTTTGCTGGAAACACATGCCAATAAGTCTGGAAAGATTAGAATATATTTGTTTTTGGAGTGATTTTGGCTATGCTCTGTTGCTGTGATAAAAGTTCTATACTCCAGGGCAGAGCCTTAATATAAATAATTGTAAATGTAATTTTCCATAGTCCTGTGTATAATAGTGACTAGGGTAATTAGTATATAAATAATAAAGAATAATAATCTAGTTTAAAGAAAAGAAGGACTAGGGGTGACATGATAGTATTTGGGGGGTTGCCACAAAGAAGAGGCGGTCAACTTATTTTCTAAAGCACCAGAAGGCAAGACAAAAAACAATGGATACAAATTAATCGAGAGAAGCAACCTGGAATTAAGGAAAAACTTCCTAACAGCGAGGACAATTAACCAGTGGAACTCTTGCATTCAGAATTTGTAGGTGCTTCGTCACTGGAGGTTTTTAAGAAAAGACTGGACAGCCAAATATTGGAAATGGTATAGAGTCTCCTGCTTGAGCAGGGGGGATTGGCCTAGAAGACCTCCAGGGTCCCTTCCAGCTCTATTCTGATTGATTGAAGATAATCTATCTTTCCCCTAGAACTTTTGCCATTGGAACAAGATGCAGTCTTTGGCCTTGAATCTCTTCTTGTTCTTTGTAGCCAAGAACCAAGTTCATCTCCCGAAGCAACCTTAAAGGTAAATTGTAAGTTTTTAAAAAATATTGTCTCTCATACTAATTGATGTAAAAGGATTTTCCTGAATATTTGTTTTATTATAATTATCTGTTACTTTGATTGTTATTTGTTATTTTAGACATCTTTGTGGTTTGTTACTACACTATTTGGTATTTGCAGCTGTCCTCGATAACACAAAATGGGAAGTTAGTGAACAAGCACACTATTATTTGGAAGAAAATTTAGTAATTGCATTTATTTCCAATCTGCTTCCAGATTAAAAAAAACCAGTTAATGCTTTTTGAGTCCTTTATATTAGAATGTGCTCTTTCCATTATACAGACTGAAGCAGTCATCAGGATTTTCAAAGGAAATTCTTTTTCAGGTTTTGTTAATGGGGAATAGCATGTTTTGCAGAGCATATGAGAGAACTTAGTTAGTGATGTTGCTCTGGCTGGTGCCAATATTGGTTTTATTTTGATGCCAAGATGTGTCCTGGCTCTTCATCCAAATTTTTGGATTATGTAGTTTGACATTGTCAGGTAGACAGATAAATGAGAGGACCGTAATGTCAAATAATCTTTTTTTAAATTAAAATAAGATGGGAAACATGGCTTGTGCACACCCAAGGAAGTGTCTACAGAGGCATTCCTACCTACTATTAATATCTACAGAGACATTGCTATTATACTAACTATTAAATGTGGAGTCTTCTAATTGCCTTTTGACTAGCCAGAGGCGAAAAAGGGGGGAATAGCAATTTATAACTATCAACGTAACACCAAACTTTGGCTTAAAATTAAATCCAAATTGATACATTGATTCCCAAATACTAACTATGTAGGAATTAATACGCAGTTTGCTTCAGATTATTTTGTGTTATAAAAACGGTGATAGCAATCCTCAACTTAAAACCATTCATTTAATGACTGTTCAAGTTACAATGGCACTGAAAAAAGTGGCATGACCATTTTTCACACTTACGACCATTGCTTGGCAACTGGTTCATATTTATGATGGTTGTCATCTCCCAGAGTCATGTGATCGCATTTTGCGAATTTCTGACAAGCAAAGTCAATGGGGAAACTAGAGTCACTTAACAACTATGTTACTAACTTGTCAGCTTCAGTATACACTGAACAACTGTGACAAGAAAGGTCATAAAATGGTGCAAAAAGGACTTAACAAAAGTTTCACATAGCAGCTTAAATTTTGGGCTCAATTGTGGTTGTAATGAGGACTACCCACAGTAGATATTATCTTTAAAACAAACAGCTAGGGTATCATGAAAGCTGAAAAAGTGTCATTTTGTTTTCATGCAGATAGTACTCACTTGTATGGTGAAGCTGGCCAAGAGCCACCCCCATCTGAGCCAATCCATCGTGGAGTCCTTGTTGACCCAGCTGCCTCGTGCTCAGGATGCTGCTAGAATTCTCATATGCCATTGTTTGGCAGCCATTGCCATGCAGCTACCTGTCTTAGGAGATGGAATGCTGGGAGACCTAATGAATCTCTATAAAGTGATTGGCTGTTCTGCTGCCAATAAACAGCAAGAGCTTTTGGTAAGAAACTCAGATTCAGAATATTTCTTCTCGGTAACAAATGAATCTGAATATAGATAGAATAAACGTTTGATGAACATTCTGTAGAACTAGTTGCTATCTGATAATGTATTCAATACTTAAATCAGGGGTGGCAACTTTTAGACTTGTGAACTCAACTCTCAGAATTCCCCAGCCAGAGTTGAAGTCCAAGTTGCCAAGGTTGGATATCCCTGACTTAAATTGTTATATTGATAAATGGAATGGAAAGCATGACACCCTTATAAAATTGCTGTCTTTGACCACACCTTTTCTATGATTAGGTTGTTTTTATTCCCCAGCTCTTCCAGGAGAAAATTGACAGATCTTTGCTAATAAAAACTCCTAGAGATGCCACGAAGATTGGTAAATTATTCCTACATACCTTGAGCTTCAAAAGGACAACCTGTTCCCAAACCTGATAGGCATGAGGAATCTAGGGCTTTTCAAATGCTCTATTCCTATTCAGGGAAACGGAAGGATATAAGGAGTTTTAATTTAGGATTGTCGATCCTTACCAATTGAGTTGAGGGATTAACAGCAAAGAATTGCACTCACCAGCTAGTTTTGTGCTGAACTTTCCAAAAGTCATTCCAGTAAACAAAACGTCAGAGAGTACTTAAATTAATGAATGATATCACTGGATGTTTTGAAATGCCATAAAGTAAGTAAGATGTCTAAAAAACAATATTATTTGCATAGTGACTACAGACTAGACATTTTGTGTTGGAAGCAAAGCAAAACAATTGAAGCCAAAAGGCCCTACTTGAAGAGGCCCATAATTCAGAAAGATGCAGCATAGAAAGAAAGAGAATAATGAGGGAAGAAGCAATGAATGGGGAGAGGGAACATTACCAGGCTGTGCTGGCATGGGTGAGAGTGCAGTATTGCAGGCTACTTCTGCTGCCTGCCGGCTGCCTGCAATATGGCAGTTNGGCACTCAGATCAGATCAGCCCAGCATCTAACAACAGAGAGAGCTAACAGTCATTCTGGCTCCCTCTTATGGCCGATTGAGGAAAACAGCAACCAATCACATTTTACAGTATGATTTAAAGAAACAGGTATAGCATTGTTACATGATTTATATATTGCCAACTCATCCATTAGATTATATTCCTAACAATGCCCTACAAATTATATGGTGGCTTCCATATCTTTTTAAGATATCAATCAGGAGTTACATTTATAAGATGGGTAGCTATATGCACCACTCTAATAATAAATAAATGTTCCACTGCCTACAGAGAGTTGTTAAGTCTCTCTGCTGTCATTATTGGTACTGGGGAAGTGACGCATTAAGGATTCAAGATGTTCTGTGAGGCCTGCTTTGCCTCATTCTAACCAAGGCAAAATGAAAAATAGGGATAAAAGCCTATCACTTTTCCAATCCATCTCTAGCGCCATACGGTCTTTCACACAGTGGCATTCTCCAAATCTGTAACTTCCAGTTTCACCACTCATTGAGCCTGAGTCTTCATCACCTGCTCTTCAGTCGTAGAAATCAATCCTGAAAAAGGGAATCTAAGACAGATGCTCCCTAAGAGTTATAGTAGCTCTGTAATAAAATCCCTGTTGTTTGCAAATTTTAATGTCAACTGAGATCTGCCTTCTTATAACTTATGGTCAATATTCTATACCCAACGCTTTTGAGAGCAAAAAACTGATGGTTGTTTTTTGCGGCACATTTCTTGCAGTGTGTGGACAAGGGCTGTCACATCTTTATTTAGGCATTATTGTTTCAGACTAGATTTTACTTCCATCACCACTTAAACATCTGTTTAATGAAATCCTGCTGGATATTCCCCTTTAAATGGACATTGGAATGACATCGATAAAAAGCATGATCTTGTCAACTACAGGTCTAACATTTGAAGAATTCCCATAAAATATTTCTCCCCCCTTTGTGCATTTTTATGTAGAAGGCAAGTTAATGCTAGCCATTTCAGGATGTCTTTGGCAGTTAATTTCTTAAAACACTCCAAGACTTTATAGTTTTGTCATCTAATTTTGTTTTCAGTTGTGTAATCTAATTTTATTTAATTGTTTGTTTTGAAATTGCATGGAATCATAAGTTATATATAGAAAATTATTAAACTGTTTTGGAATTTATTGAAAAGTGGTATACTGATATTTTAAATCAATAACTATTTTATGTTCAAAGACATTAGATCCCTGCAATATCCCTAATAATACCATTTTACATATACAGTATATAAACATATCACTGAAACATTAGGGCATTGAAACAGCTGTCCCTTGCCAAGGCTTGGTTGCTCGCGGAGATGCTCCATGTGGTCTCTGGGTCAGCAGCTGCTTTTCTCTGCTGTTGCTCTTCTTGGGACAGAGAGCATCTCTTGTGAAATTTAGCAGCTGTGAGCCGCCCTGTTCCTCTAAGTCTCCCATCCGGAAAGCGCACAGCACAGAGAAGCAGCGTTCAACATGGCTGCTGCTTCTCTGTGCTGTGTGCTTTCCGAATGGGACTTAGACGGTGTCTCACAGCTGCTAAATTGCACAAGAGATGCCCTTTCTCCTGCAAGAGCAGCAGCGGAGAGAAGCAGCTGCTGCCTGGAGAGCAGAGATGGAGCAGAGCAGGCCCCGAAAGTCTGCTCGGTTGACCCTTACCGCATGGCGGAAGCATGAGTGTGCACTCACATTTTCAGCGAACTGGTTGTTAAGTGGGTTGAATCCCACCGCTGGAGACCTGTGAAATAGGAAAGCAACATGTGGGGTCTGTAGCAAAGAGAATATATATACAAGCTAATAGCAGAACAAAGGGACAAGGCAAATACTACTTTCAGCAAAGTAAGGTACTTTCAGCTACAGGAAGAATGGAATGGAATAGAATAGAATAGAATTCTTTATTGGACAAATGTGATTGGACACACAAGGAATTTGCCTTTGGTGCATATGCTCAGTGTACATAAAAAGACAATATACATTGGTCAAGAATCATAAGGTACAACACTTAATGATAGTCATAGGGTACAAATAAGCAATCAGGAAACAATCAATATAAATCGTAAGGATACAAGCAACAAAGTTACAGTCCGGCAGTCATAGTGAATGATTTGACAGGGGTGAGGAAATTATTTGTTTAGCAGAGTGATGGCGTGCGGGGAAAAACTGTTCTTGTGTCTAGTTGTTTTGGTGTGCAGTGTCCTTTAGCATCGTTTTGAGAGTAGGAGTTGAAACAATTTAAGTCCAGGATGTGAGGGGTCTGTAAATATTTTCATGGCCCTCTTTTTGACTCATGCACTCATGCAGTCCTCAATGGAAGGCAGGTTGGCAGTAATTTTTTTTCTGCAGTTCTGCTTATCCTCTGAAGTGTGTGTCTGTCTCGGGTCACAAAACCAAACCAGACAGTTATAGAGGTGCAGATGACAGACTCAGTAATTCCTCTGATGAACTGTATCAACAGATCCTTGGACAGTTTGAACTTCCTGAGTTGGTGCAGAAAGAACATTCTTTGTTGTGCTTTTTTGATTATGTTTTTGATGTTAGGTGTCCATTTTAGATCTTGAGATATGATAGAACTTAGAAATTTGAAGGTCTCTACTGTTGATACTGTGTTGTCTAGTATTGTAAGAGGTGGTAGTATGGTAGGGTTTCTCCTAAAGTCTACCACCATTTCTATGGTTTCAAGTGTGTTCAGTTCCAGATTGTTCCAGTCGCACCACAAGGTTAGTTGTTCAATCTTCAATCTGTATGCAGTTTCATCATTGTCTTGAATGAGACCAATCACTGTTGCATCATCTGAAAACTTCAGTAGTTTAACAGATGGATTGTTTGTGATGTAGTCATTCGTATATAGAGAGAACTGGAGAGAGCACACAGCCCTGGGGGGGGGGGGGTCCTTGCTAATTGTACAGTTATCTGATGTGATTTTGCCTAGTTTCACCTGCTGCGTCCTGTTAGGAAGCTTGTGATTCACTTACAAGCTGATTTAGTTTAGTTAGAAGAATGTCCAATAGTATTGAATGCTGAAGTAAAGTCTACAAAGAGTCTACAAAGAAGCATGAATTGAGATTTGAGTCTGATCCTGCTGCCAATAATCTCATCTTGCTTCATTTTATAGGGATCTATAAGAGACAACTAGAGCCAAGTGCCAAAAGAATTTTAGGATAGCGTTTAGGAGTCTCTGCAGCAGAAACTCTCCTTTGATCTAAGAATAAGTGGACGGTGTAAGGATGTATGATAATTGAAGTGAAAATAAGCAATAGAAAATGGTCAGGCCAATATAATATAAGCCTCTTAATTGAATTCTGTATGTATTATGTTCAATCATGGCCAGTGCCTATTTTTGTGCTTCTTTTTCTGTTTTGCCTACACTTTGTACTATTGCAGATGAAACTCTCCATGGAAGAATTCAGAAACCTTGCAGCAAGATACAGCGATCTCTATCAGTCTTCTTTTGATGCAGACTCTGAAACTCTGAGAAATGTGGAACTGTATCCTGCTTCTTATAGTATGAAAAAAAATTAAATCTTGGAATTTAATACAAGAGCCTCTATTGTATTGTTATTTATGAATACTAAAAGAAAAGAACAGAGATGCTTGAAAAATGTAGACAGGTATTTGGTGTCTTAACTTCACTATACTTAAAACTTAATCTTCACTGTACCCTGATCAATTAAAAACCTTTATAAACATTTAACCCCTTAAAACCCTACTGTAAGGGCTTGGATTTGCCTTGCCTTGCCTTATAATGTATTGTATATATGGCAGTCATTCTTGTTTGAATGTGGTTATCTTGTTTCTTAAACAACCAGAGCTTGGGTGTTTTCCCCCCAAAGAGGCTCCCTTGAACCTATTATGGGAGCTAGGGAAAAGTAAATTTATGCAGGCAATTCTTAGATACTTACAGTTTGCATATGCCAATTCATTTTTAAAGTTAAAAACAGACCATCATTATGGTTAGTCTGCCAGAATTCATCACTGAAAGTACATCTTTTAATTTAATTTAAAATTTAAGCTCTGTTCCATTTGATATAGCCCATCCCATATTTTCTTACTATTAGTGACTGTATTTGATTATCACAAGTAAGATTGCCAAATCAAGTGTCTTCTTTGCCCCAGAACTAATACTCTGTTTCTGTGAAGATTCTGAGTCATCCAGGTCATGGTTGTCCCAAAGGTTCTTTTTTCAAAAGGCAACTGAACTTTTTGGTTTTTCTTTGAAGATGTTTCGCTTCTCATCCAAGAAGCTTCTTCAGCTCTCCCAAAATATCTTCAAAGAAAAACCAAAAAAATCCAGTTCCCTCTTGAAAAAAGTATTTTTGGGACAAAATACTCTGTACTTCAGAGCTGTGTTCTGAGCTGGGAGCAAAACAAGACATTCCATTCCATATTGTTGTTCTCGTTTCTCCAAAGGTTGGAGAGTACAAAAGCCATTAAAACTTGAGACATAAATTCCATTACTGATATTAGAAAGTTAATAGTTTACAGATAGTAATGCCACGCTGCTTTTGCTATATCTTCTCTGTGAATCATGCTTTCTTTTTGAGATAAGTTGCTGGATACAAAAATGTATTTTGTACATGAACTTCAAACAGTGTACATACGGTTTCTTCCAATCGCCAAATATAAAAACCACCATGTTTTCTTCATTTATTTGTTGGGGGTTTTGTTGATGAGTTACCAAGTGAAAAATTGGGTCTTGGGATTACCCATTAACAGAGCTGCTGTTGCTGTGTTGTGGAGCACAGGTTACTGGCAAATTGCAGTTGTGTTAAGGTGAATCCATTATTGTTGCTTGCTTCATTTCCTGGCTCAGTTGCATGAGGATCTGAAAAAGTTGTCATTGTTTGACTGGATATTTTTTTAAAATGTTGAAGTTATTTTAGAAAGTCACCTTCTAAGTAGTTTTTCCGCGCATAAGTTGATAAACAACATAGCATAGCTACCAGTACTGTTGTAGCCCCAGGACAAAAAGTAAGAAAGCACGAGGGAGCTCCCCATTGTACCTTATTCAAGAATACTCAATAGTGTTTTGAATGTGATTCAGTCAAAACATGGAAGACTCAGAATTGTAATATCTGAAGTAGAACTATTCTGAAGGGTTTTTTTCCCCCCATTTTGTCTCTACCCTACATCACAAGCCCAGATATTTCTTTCCTAGTTCTGAGATTTGTTTCTTTTTCCTCTAGCTACATGTGCAAATAATTGAGAGGGCAATTTTGTATATGCAAAATATGCTTTCTGTTAACCCAAGAGGAAATAGTGTAAAATTATTTTTGTTAAAGGCAGTATTATATGTTTAATTTTGCTTTGGGAAAGCAGGATTCTCCCATTTCTTCCACTTTGTTATTTAAGACTCGTATTTGCTTCATTTATTCTTTTGGCAATGGGAACTGCTGCTACAAATGAACTTCCAACTGTGCATAGATCTCTTTTTGCTTGCACATATGTCTGCCCTGGGCTGCTAGCCATATCCTGTGAACTGTTCATTCAGACCTTTTATGTCTTGTATCACCAACTGCTAACTTCTTCTGAGGTTTTGTAGCACTGTTAAAAGAGAAAAATGCCCCCAGGTTATAAGAATACTTGTGTCTCATTCAAATAAATAGACTGACTTTTCAATGCTATAGGATACATCATGCATGAGTAACAAATGCCAGTTTCCCATCACTATTCAAATCCTTTTCTACGTAAGATAATATAAAATGTATGTCGTAACTTTTCTTTGTTAATATTCTTTAACATTACTTCAGGCAGCAGCAGAGTTGCTTATTAATATCACATGCAATTGAAGCTCTGATCTTAGATCCTGAATCTGCAAGGTATACCTAATTGCCTTTTGTCTTTCTTTTATTTCCTAATCTTTTCATTAATATTCATGTTCCTGCCATATGTTGGCTGGATATTGTGGGAGCTAAAGTCCAGCCTATCTGGAAGAAGCAGGTTGGGGAAAGCTCATCTGAGCAGTTCTGTTATAAAATAAAAGCTATACAAAGTTTCTGTAAAAAAGCATTCAACAGCTGCTTCTTGAACTCTTTATGAAAGCAATGTAGCAATAGCACTTAGACTTATATACAGCTACACAGTATTTTACAGCACACTGAGTGGTTAATGAATGTCAGCATATTGTCCCCTACAATCTGGGTCCTCAAGTACACTTATGGAAAACAGCTATCTTACATGAATATTTCTTCTGGGGATGTGCTGTACTTTGATCTAAAGCCGCATAGATGCTTTGGAGTGGACATGGGCCTTATGTTTTCCAAAGTTCATACATATAGAAGCAATTTTTCAGTTTGAATCTAAAGAGCAAACTAGCTCTAGTTTAGTGTTTCTCAACTTTAGCAACTGGGGAATTCTGGGAACTGAACCCCACATAAGTTAAATTTGTCAGGGTTGAGAAACATGGCTCTAATGTCCTGGTTCAGGAAGTGCTTTTCCCATTATTTCCTGCATTTGCGTATTTCCTGTGCAATATTAGAAAAGGTTTTGGAACATTTGAGACATTGCATTCAGCCCTGATTTAGTCCTGTTAGACTTCATCATCAATCCATGTAAATCTAGTGCTCAGCCTAAAATCTGGGTGATTTGAGAGCAGTCACCACTTATTCAATTCATTATTTAAAAGGCTGGACTTGGAGATATACCCCAGATGGTTTGGAGAATTTTAAATGTTCAGGAAAATGAGATGTTAACTGTGAAAAAGAAAACTATTATGAAGATTTAAGCAACATAATGGCTCCAGTATTGAAGAGAATACAAGAAACTATCCAGGAATATTACTTGGCATATTGTGTTTTCTGTGTTTAATTTTGCATAAGTAATATAATTGATATTCCTTATTCTGTTAACCTTTTCAACTAGATGCTTCAAATATGTATAAATATAGGTAGTCCTCAACTTACAACCACAATTGAGCTACAATTTCTGTTGCTAAGTGAGACACGTCTGAAGTGAACTTATCCCTTTGCATGACTTTTCTTGCCACAGCTGTTAAGTGGATCATTGTGGTTGTTAAGTGAATCTGGCTTCCCCATTGACTGCTTGTCAGAAGGTTGCAAAAAGTGATCACATGACTCTGGGACACTGCAACAGTCATAAATACCTGCCAGTTGCCAAGCGTCTTTATTTTGATAATGTGACCATGGGGCTGCTGCAGTGGTCGTAAGTGTGAAAAATAGTCATAAGTCACTCTGCTGCTGTAACTTTGAACAATTACTAAATGAACTGCTGTAAGTCAAAGTCTGTCTGTACACAAAGTGCTCTGCAAGAAAGATAAAATAAATAGAGTTTGAATAGCTACCTTTTTAAACAGCTTTCAGGAATATGGTTCTACTGGAGTGGCCCATGCTGCAAGTGAATATGAAAGGAGAATGATGTCTGTGTTTGGCCATGTGTTGGAAGAAGTGGAAGCCCTGAACCAAAAATATGCCCCAGTATCCTACATGGCAAGTATTATCATTTATTATATGGAAAACACTCCAGCTTTTGGCCTCAGATAAAGGAAACTGAAAAGCTAAATATGGTTTTTTATGTGTACCGTATTTACATATATTTAATCAAAATATTCTTCAATAGAAAAGTAAGAGTGAGACTACTACTCTTTTCTGCCTAATTTTATTTCATTTTCCAGAACTTGCATTTTAAAAATATACTTCAAGCTCTCATGCTATGATAGGCATTGTGTAAAAGGTTAGTTGTAGAGACATGCCAGAGACCTTATATAATTGTTCTATCTTTGCTTTATTCAGTAATACTGATTGAGTTTCAGCACAGCTTTTAACCAATCTAGTATTTCTTTTATTGGCTAAGTGGTCTATGAATACTAGTCCCATTTATACTTGTTCCAAAAACGAAGTGGCAAATAATCAATGTTGCATTGAGTTTACTCTATTTTCTGTACTTGGAACAAAATCAAGGTTTTAGATGTTCTTAAAGCCATTTTTATGTAATCCCTTGAAAAGACAGCATATATTTGGAGATATTTTTTTTGCCTATTGTGCATATAGATTTGAATTTTTATGTTCATGAAAAAAGCATAGACTTCTAAAGAAAAACTGCAATTACAGTAACACCTGAACAGCTGGAAGGAGGACAATTACCTGAGTATTTGTTTGCATAATTCCTAAAGGCAAACAGATTAACCAAACAGGATACTGGATTAGTTAGACTTTTGATCTGACCCAACAAGGTTGGTCTCCGTTCCAGGTCCATATCTTGCTGGCCACTTTTGTTGACTGTAATGCAACCTTTGCTGGCATGCTTCAGACCTCAGTTTCTATAATCTTCCAGCCAAGCAAGGAAATAGTTTTGCTAATTGGAGGATTATTAGAATAAGTCAAGATAAGCACCAAATTGATGCTGACTGTCAACATCATATATTCTCTTGTATGCCCAGTTCAGTGTCAGAGACAAGGGTGTTCTTAGGATTTGCAAATTTTCTTCCAGATGTCTTCTATCTCCAGTTTCCTATCTCTGGAGCTTTTTGAATCAATAGTATGTTGTGTCTTGGCTTCCTAAGCACCAGGAACTAAGTATTAATGCCCAGAGTTTGTTCATGATATTTCATATTCCTTTTGTAAAACAAATAATTATGATCAGACTTGCCATTCTTTTGTTCTAGCATACCGCTTGTTTATGCAGTGCAGTCATTGCCTTGCTGAAGGTCCCCTTGTCATTTCAGAGGTATTTTTTTCAGAAGCTACAATCAACTAGCATTAAGGTAAGCTATATTTGCGTTTAGTTATAATTGCAGTTTGGGAGAAGAAATGTTATTTATAACTCCTAGACAAGCAGGCTGGCAGAAGTGATTGGAATGAGGTGGGGACAACCAATTGCTGCCTAAGCTCTGATTTATGAAAGATGTTAGATTAGACATTTAATGAAATATTTAAACTAGAATTCATATCTGAAATAAAGTTTTGATTTAAAAAATAATATTAAATCAGTGTGTGTTCTGTTTTGGGTTATGAGATAGTTTTATGAAGATCCTCAGTTACAATTCATTGTTGCCTTGTGGCTTAATGGACATAGACATTTTCTAGCAAATAAAGATATTTCTTTTAAAACAAGTAGTGCTTTTTTAATGTATTGATGTTGGGGATGTTTTTGTTTTGCTGCTTCCGTTAGCTAGCTAATGCATTTTATCGTATTTTTTATTTGAAAAACTATATATGGCAAAATAAAGCAAGATAAAACTATCTTACATAAATAGAGTAATGTAGCACTTTGCAATTTGGTTTCTTTAGCTTGAATGAGTATCTCAGGTCTAGGTCACCTTTCTGATTTGTTTTTTGTTTTTTAAGTAGAGGGGTTGCCCTACTTTTTTTTTAACCTCTGGTAATAATGAGAAAGACTGAAGCCTATGTAAAATATAATATTCACACATATAATATTCACAGAATAAGTAGCAGTTTTTAACAGAAAACAATTTCAGAAGGCTAATCACTGCCGAACAGAGAGAAAGTGAGACATCAGTAGGGTTGTGCTTCTGCTTCCTCCAAACTGGAAAACTATATTGGTTTTATCTGGGTTTTTGTCATCCCAAGCTGATGATGGCAGGGAAACTATGGTGAAGGAAGGAGATGGAGTAGAAAGTAGACTCACAGAAAAAATGGTGGAACATAGTAGTGACTGCTGTATAATTAAGAATCATAGAATTAATATTGGATGTTGGATCATGTCCTTCCTTCCTTCCTTCCTTCCTTCCTTCCTTCCTTCCTTCCTTCCTTCCTTCCTTCCTTTCTTCCTTCTTTCCTTCCCCTTGAGCACCCAGTTTCTGGCACAATGATTTTGATTTCTGCTTGCAAGCTTGACGGTTTCCAATAGTTTGTGTTGATCTTTTAAATTCTTGTGGTCTCTTTTACTGCTTTATTTTGCTGCTTCATGGTTGCTTTATTGATTATCCATTTGGTATAAGATGGCGTCAGATGCCTCTAGTCTATTAACCATATATCCTGCTTATAAAATAATCATGCTACTAGACAAATATGTTCTCTATAAATGGATCATACATTAAAGGCAATCATTCATTAATGGAGAGCGCCTGGATACATTATAGCCAAAAATGTTTTCCAATTACTATCTAATGTCAATGCATGCTTGTTTTCCACGTTCGGTAGAGACCTTAGTCACCTTGTATTACGTCACAGAGAGAGCATATCTTTCCCTATGAAAAATGTTTGATGTAGACATGCAAAAGAAATATTTATGTATTAATTTTTTTCCTTAATCCAACATGAGATTGCATAGAAAATATCTGGGGTTAGAGCTCTGTCTGTCAACCAAATACCTCTTCGAAAATTGAATCAAAGAGGGCCAAATGGGTATGGGAGAGAAGCTGGCAAAAGCATGATTGATACTGTAAATGGGGCCAGATCAGGCCAGGGGCTGCAAGGAAAAAATGTTGAAAAATTCCCACAGTGCAGTCTTGTGGAAGAAACAATTGGCTAGCAATGTGGAATCTTGGCAGCTGCTCTGTTTTAAGCAGCATCTCCTCTATTTGGATCATATGATCCAGAGCACAGCGTATGCAGTATGCAGTCCTTGCCTCCCGGGGCACACATAAAACACAAACATGGTCACCGTGACAAAGGTTTGGAAAGAATTCCTGAAGTCATGCTCTGCTTACTTTCCATGCTGTATTTTATCAAGATTATACAGTGAAATAGTGCTCTGTGATATGATTTTTGTATATTATTTCTATTGAGAAATAGTGCAATCTTTCTCCTAAATAAAAGGTCTGCTAGTAAATAAGTAAATGCTAACATCCAGTTTAAATGCTACACTTCAGCTCTCTTTCTAGATATTGTGGTACCTCTGATGCTTGCATATGTAGAGAGAAAAATGTGTCAAGGTACAGGTCTCATTAGAATGGTTAAGGAAAATGAGCAGCCAGCAGACCCAAGAGCAAGACTATTTGCCTTCCCAAAGAAATATTTCATGTTGTGCTCTGCTACAGTTTCAATAAATAGGTCATGGGCATATGGATTGGTGTGCACAGAGGATGAGACTTTAGGAATGTTTTAGTGATGTTTTTAAAAGCAACTGTCCATGAATTCAAAATTTTTCACAACAAGCAGATCTAAGAAATATCTTTCATGCCCATAAAACTATGTGTAAACAATTGGTGTAGTGTTTGGTTTTGGAATACTTGCAATACATTTTACATACTGCTTTAATTTATGCAGTAGATAAACTCAGTAGTAAATGGCAAAATGTAGAAGGTTCTAGGCTAACTTCCTGGCTCATAGCAGATGGTGCATAAAACATCTGCATACTTCTGTTAATCAAAGTGGAGAATAAGTTTGGGTGGTCAATTATTTTGGGAGGCAAAAGACATATTATCTTATGTTTGAATTTATTTGAAGGTTACAAAAAAGTTGAATGCATTGAGTGAGTTACTTGGAAATATATATGGTAAAATAGAGATAAGGTCAAGAATGTGAGGAATGAATATAACTGGAATATAAAATAAGTGACCAATATGAAAATAGCAAATTGATTTGCTATGGTTATATAGAGAGAATGAACAAGATCAATTTACAAAGGAGTTAACATGAAGGAAAATTGTATGGTTTAAGAGAAAAAGGAGGATTAAGAAAGTTGGATAGAATTGATGAGATTTATGAAACAGTTTATGGATGTGGTAGAAATAATGAGGATTTGCAATAATAGAAAATAATAGAGAGGTATAGTGAGTAGTATTTATGTGCTCTAATTTTAGTCATGTTTCCATTTGTTTTTCTTTATCCCTTTATTTATTTATTGGTTTTGACTTCCTATTCATTTTATGTGTTTGCATTATGTTGCTTCCCCTGAAAGGCAATAGCATGATAGTTAGGCATAAATATTTCAGTACTGTAAAAAGAACCAAAATTAAAATAAATCAATGCATAAGCGGAAAAGATTATGCAAAACAAATTAATTCAGTAGTGTGCTCAAAAATTCAGAATTTTCCTTAAATCGATTCCCTCAAATGGATAGCTCTTCCCACCCTGCTGCATCTTGCTCAAAGGTTTAGCTGATAAATCTCTCATGAAAATAATTCCAGAGCACAGTTGCAAGCACAAAAGTTACTGTTTGCAGAAAGTAAGGAAATCTTGAGGTCTCTTTCAGGTAATTTGTTGATTATGTCAATAACAGTTAAGTTCATGTCTGTTTAAATTTGCTTGGAGCGTGTCTACTTAAGATTATCAGAATCAAAACCTAAGGGCTTTTGACAACTGAGGAAGCTTACTTAAAACTGTGTACAATGTTGTAAGAGTCATGTTTAAGAGCATAGGTATTTCCTTCAGTTGAGATCCTTGAGGTACTTTTTATGGTAAGTAGTATAGCATAGTAGTAGTAGACTGGAGGCCTCCCTGCTTTATTCCATGATGCTGCACTTAATATTTAAAGCTTCAAATATGCACAGGTCACACACATGAAGGCCTATTCGATGCAGATTAGGTGACAAGAGGTCCATCAGTTGACCATCTTTGTAGTGCTGGGCTTTTAAATGATTCAACACTAATATACAATGGAAAGAATCTATTCACATGCGATTTCCATGTCAGTGTCATAAAGCATTGCTAAGTTTTTAAAGGGAACTTGAAGTTGAAGAAGGCAATTGATTTACTTCATTCTGTTTTGCTCATTGCACAGAAATGGACAGGTTTGTGTTGCTTATCTGTCTTAAGATTATATGTTCTCTTCCTCAAAAAAGGGGAGAGTGGTAATCAAGATGGAGTAATGGTGAAGTCATGAGTTCTAGATGTTCCTTAGGTATGAAAGATGGCTGAGTTATTTTGGCCTGGTCACTGTTGTCTCAGTCCAACCCATCTTATAGGGTTGTTTTTGTAGTAAAAAGAGAAGGCCAGAACATTAGGTATGCTTCTTTGAGCTGTAAAAAATTTAGGCGAGATATAAGTATATACTTTACTTACGGAAACAGAAATTTAAATCTCTTTGCTTTATATACATTTCTCAAAATTCTCACTTTCTACAAAAATATTTTTTTAATTGGCAAAATCAGGGTGGGGAGAATGTTAAATTTAATTGAAGGGTCCTTCTCTTCCCTATCTCACCTAAGCTGAATGTCCTAGATACTTTTCTATTTCATATGGGAGTCCATTTTCTATATAAACAATGGTTCCGAATAGACGTACAACAAAATATTCATGAAATAGATTATATAATTTTGGAAGCTGTGATGTGAAATATTGCAATCTCTACAACTCAGCACTCTCAGCCATGCTAGATTACAGATCTCATTATTTCCCATATCCGTGTGGGCTGAGATAATATTCAGAGAAATAAAGAGATTTATTGAAATTCTGGTTAAATGTCAGACCTGTTCCAGCTAGGGCATTTAGGAAAGAACTCCATTTGTAGTGAAAGGTATAATTTTACTAATGCCAAGTAGTTACAGCCAAAGCAAAGTCAGATCTGAGATTTCCTGCATAAACCTGATATTTTTCCCTTCTCCCAGGCCTTCCCACCTGGTCGTCATGTTGGTGTCCACTGAGGTTCAAATTAGTTCTTTTGGTAACAGTTCTAAAGTTTGGTGCCTCTTTGATGGACTTTTGCATTCTGTTTTCATGCTTGTGTCCTTGGATCATTCAACCATTATCTCCAGTTGGCACTTCTGGTTCTTGTCATTTGCCCCCTCCCCCCATCCCTCTACCCTTCCTCCCCATAGTTTATGGCTGGCTGTCATCAAAGTGAAGCAGAGCTGAAGTTATGTAATGGCAGATCTGACACTAATGAAAATTCGGGCGAGGTTTTTACAAATTGGAATCTCCTGCTTCTTTTAAATAGGGCATTACTCACATAGTAAATGCACTGATAATAGAATGGGTCCCTAATGTCCTACTCTTGACCAATACTTTTTGCGGTACTGTGCTTACTTTCTTCTCTTCCACTTGCATCTTGTTCTAATTAATTTATGGTAGTATTATATGTTTTCTTTTCTTCTGAAAAACATCAATTAATAAATAATAAACATTGTCTATTTCAGCTTGCCCTGTCACCCTCTCCACGTAACCCTGCTGAGCCCATTGTGGTTCAAAATAACCAGCAACTGGCATTAAAAATAGAGGGAGTAGTCCAGCATGGTTCCAAACCAGGCCTTTTTCGAAAGATTCAATCCATCTGTCTAAATGTGTCATCAACCCTGCAGAGCAAACCTGGACAAGAATACAAGGTAAAAAAAAGAACATGACAGCATGAACTGTCAACATTTCTGCTTCCTGAAACCCATGCACAATTAGAACAGAATTTCACTCCACTAGACAGCAAGAATTTTTTACACTTCAAATATGTTCTTGTCTTTTAACATGAGTGCAAGTTTCTGTGATGATTCTGCTTCCTTTGAAAATGAGACACTTGAATAAGATGCTGATCGTGGTGCTAAATTCATATCCCCATGATGAGCATCACATCCCTGGGAAGATAATCCTTGTCTTCACTTGCTCCATTGACAGGAACACCAATCGATAATAGTTGCTACTATTCCAACAAGCTTAAAAATGTGCAGCTGTCTGACAACAAGAAACAAATCTAGTCAAGTGAAAGAGGACTATTCCTCAGGGGTGGGAAAGAAGACGTAGGAATAGCTCAGTGATTTGAAATACTGTAACTTAAAAAATATAGACAAATAACTTCATATATTTTATTTAGATATGCTAAATGAATATAGGGAGCATTTGTTGCTTATTTGAGTCATTTCTGGTTAATAGTGTTTTCCAAAAACATAGTCTCTATTTGTAACTAAAATGAAATTCTCAACTGTTCTTTAAATACTTGGTTGCCTAGTGCTTGTTTTCTTCTACAGATACCCATTGACAACCTAACTAATGAGATGGAACAAATGGTGGAGCCTCACAATGATTACTTCAGCACACAATTTCTCTTGAACTTCATTGTTGTTGGCACCCATAGTATCACAGTGGAGTCCTCAGTTCGAGATCTCAATGGCATTATATGGAAGACAGGGCCAAAAACCACACTATTGATTAAGTCTCTTGAAGATCCATACTCCCAGCAGATTCGGCTTCAGCAACAGCAGGGGCAGCAGCTGTCTCAACAACCACAGCAGCTGCAACCACAGCCACGGACAGCATACTCCCGTTTTTAGCTCTCATATATCAGTCAAGGACCTATGTCAAAGGCATTCCAGTTTGTTTGGAAATTTTTCCTTTCCCCAGGGTTCACATTTCTTCCTCTATAACAGCAGCAGTCTTGATTCTTCTTTGTTTCCTTAAGCACAATTTGTATCTTTGAAATGCTATGGGATTGCTAATATGACAGTAGATTAAGGCAATTCATGTAGCAAACCGGTTATGTAAAGTGGTTCTGCTTGAAGTTCCAGTTATCATCTTAATCTCACTTCATTACAATTTTGCCCTTGTGATGTAGTACAAATCTTAGTTGATCTTAAAAAAAATCCCCAGTTTCATGTCTTTCATATACAGGGTTGTCAGTCACTAAAAGAATGGAATGGACTGAAGTTATCTAAAAGCTTCTTACGATAGCTTTCTGCTAGAGCAGCTCATTTAACCAAGATTCAGTGCATGTGATGAATTGGAGTGTAGTTGCATTACATAACACAGCCAGTCACATTAGTCTAGTTTCATTTCTCCTTTCTTCAGCTATGTTCTACTTAAGGAATATATTATCTGAATTATGTCTTTATGAAGATCATTATGGAGCCTGAGATAAGAATAGTTTTGACTGGTATCCCAATTCATCCATCTTCATTTGCACTGCCTATGAGAAATCCTTCTTGGTGAGTGAGCAAGTAGATCTATAAGGATTTTTTATTACAATCATAATAGCTCTTTGAATCATCCAATTCCCATTTCCTGCTGTATATGATTTTGCTTATTACACTATGATTTTGATTTTATACTTGGGAAGTATTCCCCCTCCCCCTCAAAATAATGCTATCTGGATTTAAAGTAAATATCTAATATAATGCATCTAAAAATGGGAGAATTTTGATACAATCATCCACATTGAGAAGGTGGCAGTACTCCTTAAAAAGAGAATACATTCTAAAGTAGAACAGTGATAGAAGGACAATGCATGACCGCTAACCTGTAATCTGAAGGTGATGCATTTTGCCTGCTATTATTAGTTCCTTCCTTATACAGGCTTAATAGGTATCCTGTTGAGAAGATTCTTGCGTTACCTACTTCATGAATAAAAACTAGCCCATATAAAAAGAAGTGAGTGGCTCTGAACACTGATGGGCACATAACATGAATGGTAGTAACAAAAAAGGAATTGCCCTTTGCAAGGGGTCTAAGCCTCTTTTTAACTGATAATTATTTGTTCGGTTATGGAGAGTTACAATCATGTTGTTGGAGATTCTCACTGTCTTATTCAGTTAAAGTGAGTTAGGGAGTGTGGGTGGGTGGATGGGTACCATATTTTTTGGAGTATAAGACGCACCTTTTTCTCTCAAAAAAGAGAGTGAAAATCTAGGTGCATCTTATACACTGAATACAGCATTTTTTGCCTCCCGAAACCCTGCCCCCTTCACCAAAATGGCCATGCATAGCTGTTAGAAGGCTTCCAGAATGCTCCTGAGGGTTGGGGAGGGCAGAAATGAGCGAAAAACGGACCATTTTTTGCTCATTTTTGCCCGCCCAGCCCCCAGGAGCACTCTGGAAGCCTCCTAAAGGCTGAGCATGCTCCTTTTTTGACAAAAAACAGGCCTGTTTTCACGAAAAACGGCCCGTTTTTGGGAGGTCTGCAGAGTGCAAAAACTTTTTTTTTAATTTGCCTCTTCAAAATCTTGGTGCGTCTTATACTCCAAAAAATACGGTAATTGGTGTTTTTTGTTTGTTTGTTTGTTTGTTTGTTTTTTAGTGAGAGGGGCCTTTTATACTGATGGTAGGGAAATTACTTAAATAGGTTTTTATTAATTAAATTGTTGTGTGGCCTTTTTCTTGTGTACATGCCAGTTTAATAAATTGTTTTCAGTTTTCATTTGGGTATTAAAAATGGTATTATTTGTGAAGAAAAAAGGTGTTATACCTTATCCCTATACTTGTACTCATTATCCAGTCAACAGACCTGCACATCAGAGGTGGGTTGCTACATTTTCGCACCAGTTCGGGCGAACTGGTAGTGGAAATTGCAACTGGGTCGCTGAACTGGTAGGGACGGCAGTCTGGCCAGACCTCCGAACCAGTTCCCTGGTCACCCATGTTGTTGCCAGCATGTTTTTAAAGTCATTTTTTAATGTTCTGTGCATGCGCAGAACAATTTATATGCAAATGCGCATGCACGTAAAGCGTGCGCACAGCAAACCAACAGTAACACCGGCAGCAACCCACCCCTGCTGAACACACATCTTAATAATGAAATAAATACCACATCCCCATGCATATTGCAGCTCTAAGAACTCTTGAATCTGGACAGAACCAGTGCAGTCCTAATTTTCATATCTTCAGAAAAAGTCTGCTTTGGTATGATTATTTTGAAATACAGTATTTATTTATTTATTTATTCAATTTATATCCTGTCTTTCATTCAGCAGCTCACAGCATATAGATAGATACTTTCCCCACAATAACACTCCTATAACGTAGAATGAATTGAAGGGGACTGACTGGCCAAAAGTCAATAAGATTCTGTGGAGGAGGGTGACTAGAAATGGAGTCACCCCGTTCAAGTCCAACCATTCAAGTCCTTATCCATTATACCATGTTGCTTCACACTATTAGATCCAATAGTTACTTTGCTTCTTGTCTCTAGCCCATTTCTCCCTGCCCCCGCTGAGGTGTGGATATTAGTTTAAGATAAAGCATTGTCATAATTATTCATGGTTCATAAAATAAGAGATGTTAGACCGATTTCCATTCTATGTTTTAAGAAGACGTTTAGACCTCCTTTTCCACAAATTCAGCAAGAGAAGGATTTTTTGCAACTTAAAACAAACAATGGAAGTAATTCCCCCAAGGTGTCTTCTTTTGGGGAGTGAACTGAAGAGTGGGAAAGGAGGCTGTAGGCCTTTGGAGAGATTAATGTAAACAAAAGGAAGAACATACACGCACCCTTTAGCTGTGTTGTAATTAAATAAGGGCATGAACACCACACTCTGCCCATGATTTTCAGTAAAATTCTGAAAATTTCCAAAATTAAAATTTTACAGTTGCTAATTTAATACATTATTAGTAAGCAACTTTCAGTGGCTTTATAGCAGAATAGTACATGTTGTTTGTGAGGGAATTTGAGTTAGATCACCTGTTTGTTGCTGACAACCAGGTCTGATTTCCTGATACTGGGGGGGGGGGGAACCACCAAAAATGGTTATTGTGTGCCTAAATATTTGCTTGAATGCAGTGCTGGACTAGATGAACTTCAGCAAATTGAAAGTGAAGGCATGGTCCAATTTTTAAAAAACCCTTCTTATCAGGAAGAGCCGTTTGACAGTAGAAATGATTATTTTCAGATTGTTAATTGGTGGCATCACACAGGCAAGCCACTGCAGTAAGCTTCCATGTCCCATGAAACACCAAGCCCTAAAAATAATGTATTTTAGTGTCTTAAAAGTGATTGTTTTCATGTTGATCTTCCTCAGCTATCAACTTTCCTCATATCTGTATGCATTTGATGGCACACATGTACACAGAGGTGGGGCTTCAGCCGCACTGTCATGCTTGGCTTCCTGACCTTTTTGACTTCTCCTTCAGAAGACCCAGATCTATTACTATAGTGTTGATCCATATAAATTCCAAGCTGTCATCTGACCAGCTTACAACCATTAATAATCTTGTCTGTGATACATATGTCTCTTTATTTTTCATGTCTTGATTTCTCAACATGATGATTCATTGTCAAATGTAGAAATTGCCTCAATAGAAGCACATGCTGTAAGTGTCACTGGAAACTTCTGTCTAATGTGCTATCTCACAATGGTATAAATTGATCCAGACTTCTCCATCTCTGTTCCGATGGTCTCATGCCATGTCTTGAATGACTAATTTTTTGAAATCTCTGTTCTCCATGTGACTCTTATTTGGACCTAATACTATAGAAATTATAGTCTAGGGTTCAACAAGATTGTTCTAGATCATCTGGCCAAAAGTCAATAAGATTATCTAGAAGTAGAAGTCTTTCCTGAGACAAATTTATCCTGGCAATTATCTTATTAATCATTAGTCAAGGGCAGGGGGCTTTAAATCTAGCGCAGATGTAAAGACGTATTTAATGTTTCTTTTCAAGCTCACTGAAGGATTGTTTCATGAATATACATACAACGGCTACCAAATTTTACAATTATTACTTTTATTGTGTAACATGTTCAAAGTCTCCTTTTCCCAACATTAGAAGCATGTTATTTATTATAGGAAATTTGCAAAAAAGGTTTAAACATTTTTTAACCCTTAACCACAAATGTACTATTTTGGCTATACTACTACAGATATGAGGTCATAATGACCGCTCATACAATTTTCTTAATCTATGAAAATAATAGGTGGAATATGTTGTTAAATTTACTTTGTATAGTTACAATTTTCATTTCTTGATCAAATTAACAGATTTTATAAATCCTATTCGCAACTGAAACGGTCCATTTCTAAAAATAGGGGTGTTCTGAACATTTTGGAAAACTGTTGGGGTCAGTGTAACCTAAGGTCTGTAGTTAAGGGTTAAAGAAACCCTTCAAAATAATGATACTGACTGTCCAAAAGATAAACTCTGAAAGAGAACATTTAGCCTCTTTGCATACATTTCTTTTGTACAAAGGGGAAAAAAATATTAGAGATAGTGATAGCCTGAGCACATATAATAAGTGTGTGTCAATATAATGTATATACGTCCTAATAAGTTGAATGGCAACACAAAGTTGGTTTACAAGGCATTCTTGGATTAAAAATACTGAGAATAAGTTTTGGTGTAAAATTTCTGTATTGATTAAACGGTATTGATTAAATAGGGGAAAACTTACCAATACAAAATGAATCCCCTCTTTTAGCCGAAGTACACTAATTACTGAGGAGTTGGGAGAGAAAAGCACCAGTGAAATGGGAAAAAAATGATTTAATGAAGTCTGAATCATATTTAGGTATCAGTGAGTACATATTTTACTTCAGTGTAAAAGCAGAGAACTCGAATAGAGAATGGAATGGATCATGCTTGGGAACGACCGTGATTGGCTGAGTGGAATATTCAACACGATTACTCAACAACATGTTCAAACATGCTTGTAAGCCTCAAACATGAAACTCATGTTCGTGTCCTAGATTGATTTGTTCTAGTTAATTCTATCTATGTATAGCAGGACAAGAAATCATTAGTGGCATGACCTAGATTGACTTTCCCTAGTTGGGAGTGGCCTCCAAAAGTTATTCCCACCGCTTAAGACTACTTCCTGCAAAATTCCTTTCTTCATTTTCGGACATATTGCACCTATACCACATGATTTAATATTTTTTCACCTTTGGGGAAGTTGCAAAGTCATTACTTGCCATAATCAGCTGAAAAAGCTCTTAAGTGGTGGGACTACCCTTTATTTCAAAATGTGAATGAGCATGTTCATTTGGAATAGACCAGTGTTGGCGAACCTTTTTGGCACCGAGTGCCAAAACAGGAACATGCACACAGCACATGCCAGAAACTGTTAGAGCACACACACAACCCGGGTGCATGTGTGTGCCGGGAAGATGACCTTCCAGTTTCCAGTGCGTGCATATGCACTGGCCAGTCTTCATGCATGCATGCGCACACTGGAAGCCCGGTGCGCACAGCTACTCTTCCAGTTTCCGGTGCTCCCGCGTGCATGAAGACCAGCTGACCAGTGTGCCGGAACCTGGAAAAGGAACAGGATGGTTCGCATGCCTGGAGAAATGGCTCTGTGTGCCACAGGTTTGGCATCACAGGAATAGTCCATTGTGCTAATACCGTGCAACTTTAAATGCTCATCATCTTTCCAATTTTTCCACTGTCCAGCTTGCCTTGGTGATAAGAGTTTCACTAGTGCTAGATACCTGAAACACAGAGCACCTAAAATTAGAAATTTACTTTCTTCCGAAAGGAAGAGTCAAGAATTTTTGCACATGAGTTTCATGTAGTTTGAGCCACATTTTAGCTGTGTGCTAAGATGGGGCAGGGGATATAAATCTTTCAAATTGAGCAAGATTTAAGTTATGTAAATAAATAAGATGTCTTCTCACTGCATATAATGAAGATTTCCCAACCAAGCTACTGCCATTATCTCTTGTTGATGCCAACCCTCATTCTAAATTTGATGTGCTTTGAGTACTTGTGATTGTTAGTATATTTGCAAGATGTACTCTCTAAGCAGAAGCTGTGCTGAACCACCTCTTAGTAGTACAAAGTGATTATC